CACCGGCTGGATTCCTAAAATTGAACTTTGATGGGAGCTGTAGGGGGAATCCTGGACAATCAGGGATTTGGGTGTTTTCAGGGATGAGAATGGGGTCATTTCAGCCATGTTCTCAGGTCCAATTAGAGTGGGGGATTCTCTTAGAGCTGAGATCCTGGAAGTTATGGAAGGAGTTCAGAAAGCTAAGGAAATGGATGTCAGAAAACTCGTAATTGAAGGGGACTCGGAGGTGGTGATAGGGTGGCTGAGGAAAGACAATTGTAGATTATGGAAATACAACAATGAGAAGAGAAAATTCAAGTGGCTGGTGCGGGATATGGAAATCAGGATGAGTTGGGTCAAAAGAACAGCTAACTCTATAGCTGATGGGCTAGCTAAACAGGGGATAGAAAGGGATGCAATGTTTTGGGATAAGTTGTAACAAATTGCTTCTTCTTTTCCTCTTCTTTCTTTGAGGACTTAAGTTGTTCTGGAAGATAAGAGTGTTTGTCTTCCTTGCTATTGATAAAAAACAAAAGAGAATACATGTATGTACACTGATGCACAAACCATGAGTAAAAGGAAACTACAAAAGAAATACAACAGAACAAAAGCTCCCACAATCATAAAACTGCCCTACCTATTCCAGCGCTTGCAATACCATCATCTACTAGGGCTGCAAGCGAATCGAATCAAATCAAATGCATCAAATCAAACACAATGACTTGGATGGGGATGCCTAATAAGTAAAATTTTAAATGTGCAAAATTTAATTGTGAAGAATGAACGAACAACAATAGCAAATAGGGGATTAACCATCATGCTTCAAAAACTTCAAAAAGTACAAAATTTAACAAAGACGCACACATTAACTGAGGTACAAAGTGCACCAGGCATGTGCCTTTTCAGCACAGATTGTTGATGCACCTTACCTACCCTATCATCTGCAAGAGTAATATTTTTTTTTGGGAACAGCATGCAATAGAGTAAGATTGTCCTAAAAACTTAAGTTTCATTCCAAATAAAACATGTACAAACAGAATTTTGTCTTTCTTCCTAATCCCCTCTCAAACTCCAACTTCAATCCCCACTGCAATAGGGGCATCTTGTCATATCTCTTGTTTTTACCAACCTCCACAAGGACAAGGCCTCTCTAACTTGCACTATTGTAATGGTGGGTCTGGCTCTAGAATATAGTGGGATTTGTTTTCTTTTCCTCCATGTTAATTGTTTTATATAACCTTTGATAATAAATTATACAACCAGAGCTTTGCTTCTTTCATGGAAGAAATACAAGTTACCTAAAAGTAGATGTCAATGTGTTCTATGGTACATGTTGTATCTCAATTGCATCTGAATGCCAGAATACCCTTTTCCATATTCTGACCTTGCTGAGTTGCTTTTTACAATTAAAATATTGCAATACATAAATAAACAATATGAAAGTATATCAGAAAGCTATATATCAGAACACTATTTGCTTGTCTTCAAAGAAGGGAGAACAGCCTCAAGATCTTATCATGTGACAATATCTACTACATTATCTCATACAAGAAAGGAAAGATAATGCAAGGCAAAAAAGAAAAAAAAAATGCATTCGTTTTGAAATTGTTTCTTGTAAACCATTAACACAGAGGGCAGGTAAATGATAACGGACAAAGAACTGGAAGATATATTGAAGATGACACACAATAAAAACATAGCACTATTTCAGTGACTTGAGATGTAACCCAAAAGAGAAGCATTGTGAAAGATAAGGACAATAAGTAACTAAATAACTGACTGAAGAAACAACCAAATGAAAACAGAACCACATAATGCAACAGTATGAAGATAAAAAAAGTAGCAAAACAAAACTCAAAAATCAACACATAATACTGTTATTATCAACATAGCTGCTGGTTGGGCTGCGGCTGCCACGACGATGCTACCATCACAATGTTATAATAATAATTGAATACAAAGAAATAACACTAAACACAATTGACACTCACCAGAAAGCTTATTGGAAGAGGTAACCAAATGGCTGCTGGAGTAAGGATCAGTTTCCTCTATACTACTAGATGAAAACCCATTGCGAAGCTTTTCCATGAAATGATCCCTGTTTTCTAGAGCACCCTGAAACATGGAATATTTCTTTGGAATACTACTGAACGGAGATTCAAAATCAGATCCTTCATTCCTAAACTCATCCTGCCTAGCAAATGAGAACCTGGATTGATTGTTGTTTTGCACCTTCCATGAACTTTCTATTTTCTGAGAGCCATGCTGTCTATTAGCTTCATTCAACAACTTAGCAAAGTTCTGAGGAGAGGTCAATGAGTCACCCCACACATCAAAGTCCATTGATAAGATATTTGAGATAATGCTACTCTCTCCCATTTCTGAAGCAGCATTCTTTTCAGCATTGCCAACATCATCACTAAATCTTGCCAAGCATTTTCCTTTCTCTATACTTGAAAATAAGTTCGAAGATTCAGAGAACCCATCCAATTCAGTAGAACTGCTAATTTTATTTTCACAATGTCCATTGGATGATAAATCACCAGAATTAAAAGGAACATAGGCTTCATCCACTCTTCTATGTACAGCTCTAGGACCTATATTACCCAGATTACTTGCACTGCATGGATCACCATTTTGCCATAAATAATGACCACTAGAATGATTGGGCAAATGTGGAAGATTTGACACCTGACTAATAACTACCTCTGAAGCCTTCACTGTTCGACCTTCCAAAGCTAGAAGATCCTCTTCGGCTTCATGGCATGAATTTTGAAGAACATGTATTTGTGATTCTGATCTCCAATCAGTTGGTTCTTTGAAAGCACAGAGCCCATCAGACAATGTAGAAGTCTTCCTTGAGGGGAGCAAGGTTAAGGGTTCCCTTGGTTTCTCAGAATGGTTTTGTTGTAACCCCAAACTTCCAGGTGATCTAACTGCAGGATGGCTGGTAGCTCTAACAGATTCAAAATGGTCAAACCCAGGACAACTATCAACAACAGTAGCTGATAATCCAGAGCATAAATCCTGAACATTACCACTTGTATTAATGTCATCTTTATCTGGAACAGAACTACAAGATTGTCTACAGAGATCTTCTGAGTTAACCACATTTGGTTGTATCATGACGCCTCCATCTTTATCCTTAGACAGAGACACACGAGAGAGATGATCACTGAGAGTTACAAGAGTAGGTTCCACATCTTGCACAACAGTTGATGGTACAGTTGTATCTGCCACCCTTTTTTGCCAATCTCTGACACCATGTTGTTTAGACATATCCCATGACTCTGATCTTTTACTAGATTGCATCACATGATTTTCTCCATTTACTGTAGATATCTTCCCTACATCACTAGGCAATACAGAAGTATGACTTGTGCTTGCAACCAATGATGGGAGAACTGAACCATTAAATGAATCAGATTTTTGCTTGGCAGGTCCATTAGAAGACACCGAATTTGAAGCTAGTGGTCGGCAATTTGAGGCACGCATACCCCTGGTGGATATTAACAGTAGAACCTTAGACAGAATAAATAATCATTTTACCAAAAAAACAAAGGTGATATAGAGGGAAAGAGTATATGTAAATACCATGAAGCTGCTGCTGGAAGCGCAACAGATCTTCCAGAACTACTATTAGGAGGAGAACCTTTAGCCTGACTTACAGGATTTTGCTGGCAAATTACAACCAAGTTATAATCAGAACCATACCATCCAATGCACCAAGCACCATGTGCATTTGTATATATTCCAGAAATGTCATTAATATGATAATTTCCTTTAACACCAATGGAAATAAATATCCATGGTGCTATAAGAATGAGTGTAAATAGTATCACAAGACTTAGCAGAGAAAAAACAATGGACATGGATGGAGAGGCATTCCATTTAGAATTCAAGCCTTAAATTACAAGATGACCTTGTCTTAAAATTCATTGTCAGAAATCCACTGCTTGTAGGGGAAAATTATTTCTCATAGTAAAAGAAAAGTTAAACACCACATATCTTACATTGGAGTTACTCTTGACAATAGGTTTGCCTGAAGAAGCATTGCCGTTATTGCAGTACTCATCAACTGGGGGAGGTAACACATTCCCTGAACGCCTTTGCAAATTATATGTGGCACCAGTAATTTGTTGTACTCTACTCCTTTAAAACCACTATGTAAGTTACTTAACCATATGATGTTGATATTACTAAACAAGACACAAACAACACATAGCTAGCAACGACACATAACTAAATAAAAAATAAATAAAATTAAAGGCAGACTTCAAGAAGCAAAGGCCCCTAATATAGTTTCCTATTAGCAAAAGTTCATAGGGCATCAGGATCATTTTTTTTTCAAAAAAAAAATCTTACATTGATTTTTAATGTTTATTAGTATTAAAGATTGAAGCAAAATAGAGTCAAATTAATGACTTTGATGCACCTATATTTCCCATAAAGTTTCTCTTGAAATATCATGCACTAAATCAGCAAATATGTTTTTCCTTCTGAGAAACTAACAGCTCATATTTAATACAATGGATCAAGATGAGAGATAATGTTTTCCCTTTGCTGGCAGATTGATGTTCAAGGTACAATTCAATAGAAATAACCCAATTTCCTAATGACAAGCTTATACCTTTAGCATCATTAAAAAGGATGATGAGAAGCAAGGGTTGGACAAACATATCAAAATGCATTGCCAGATAGGCATACCTTGTATAAGCTGAAATAATTTCATCTTTGGTGAAACTATCTTCCTGAGTACCAATGTCATGCAAATATAAACAATCTGGGTTGCTGCAAGGCTGGACCAACAAAGACATTTTTCTTAATGAAATCAATGCAAGCTTCCTTCAGCTTCAACAAAAGGGATCTCACAGAACAGAAACAAATTGCCAACTAAATAGTCTATCCATACCACATTTCTAAGCCATGCATGGCAGTATTTTGTGGTTCCAAAGCATGCCCTGCAAATGGCAACTTCACAGTTGTCAACATAAAGATCAAGTTGTGGCTTATCCAATGCAAACTATTAAAAGAATGAGCCATGTTCTTACCTCAAAGATTTACCTTCCAAGACAAAACCATGTACAGATTGAATACATCGAACCGCTTCCTCCTCTCTTGAGTAAGTAATATATCTGAAACAGAAGGAAGAAAACAAGTCTAGTAACAAATACTAAGATAAGATGCATAAACTTATACCAACACCTGAAACATCAATCTAGTCTAGAACCAAACTTGCAACTGAAATGGCAACCAGACACTAAGGCTGTGTTTGGTTTGAAGGAAAAAGTAGGAAAGGCAAGGGAAAGGTCGAGAATCCTTTACAAACCTTGTATGAGTTTCCATACCATTCCCTTCCTTTCCCTACTTTTTCCTTCAAACTAAACATAGCCCAAGTACTAACAAGTCCTTGGAAGGGAAATCAAGGATAAAAGTAACACAAAGATTAATGGATTTCACACAGTTGAAATTGAAACTTGGTAGTAAACAATAGGAAGGGCAGCCCAGTGCATGAGGCCCCCACCAATGCAGGGTCTGGGGAGGGACAGATGTATACAACCTAACCCCTGCACATACAGAGAAGCTGTTTCCAAAATTTGAACCCTGATCACCCAGGCCACAATGGAGCAACTCAACCATTGCGGCAAGGCCCACCCTCTAGTTGTAAAGAATAGTAATGACAATGAAATAGTCCCATTGCTTTGAAATAATAGATGGAATAATAATTCCTATTGAAACAAAAAAAAAACAATAGATATAAGCATCCCACCACTTGAAAACTTGCCAAAAAAGCAAACGTGTGATATTAGATAAAACACTTGACTTACACACTACAAGTGTTGTTTGCAGAATGCTGAATGGCACCCCCGGCTGTCCGAGAAATAGACACCTTTAGAACTTTGCCATACTGTCCAAAGTATTCCTTGCGCTGAAGAACCTGTTTGAAAGAATAAAATCTGCTCATTAACTACAAAGCAAATAAATAACCAAAATAGTGAAAACATGATGCTTAGTTTAATCATTCAAGAATACACTTGATATGGAAAGAAGTAACACTGCAAAAGAACCACCCACATCTTCATCCGCTGAGTTAGACGGTATCCCAATGATGTACACCAGATTTCGTTGAATTACTCGGACACTGCTAAGATGCTTTCTACCGTCCGACGCTTTTGGTTTTGCCTTCTGTGACTTCAGTTTTCTTTCTGAATTGATTTCAGCCACCAATCTGTCCAGATGGTAATGGAAATGTGAAATCCCCTATTTTCCAGTAGAATATCCTGCAAATATGAATATTTATCAAACAGAAGGGCCAACCTTTCACAGTTAGCTGCCATCCCAACAATTTTTTCCTTGTCATAAGGTGTGCGGCATGCCGGACACCGGCCTTCTGTATCATCCTTTTCAGCCATATCCATTATGTGATGCCAACACCAGACACATATCTGTAAGGATAAAAGAAGTTGAATGTTAATAACAAAAGCTTCACAATTTCTTTCTCCCATCCAGGAATTTGTATCTTGCAATTACAAATACAAGAGAAACAATGGAGCATTTACTCAATGACATTCCCTTATTCCTGAAAAAAGAAAAGCCTAGAGGGTAAAGTATACCTCATAACCACATTTGCATGGCTTCAATTGCTGATCTGTCAAGTCCATCTCTTCAGTGCAGAGAGGACATGTCTTTTCTCCCTCGTCACTCATGTTTGTCCTAAAAGTTCAACAAATGGAAAATAAGTAAAATATTTTTCCTTAAAGTGATGTTTTTTTCAAGTCTCAACCATATGGTTTTGTCTCTATCTTTTTCTGTCGGGGTGGGGGGTCTAGTAGCAATAAAAGTTGAAAACACAAACAAATTTGTTAACTTGCATACGTTTATCAGGTTCAGCAGCACAAATCTTATAATGTGCCAACAATCTTCCTTAAAATTTCCATGTTCACAAGCATCAAGTCTATGCAACCCAGAAGCACGAAATTTATCAAACACAAATCAGGAGGGCAAATAGATCCCTTGCAAACCCTATGTAACGACCAAATCGTGAGACGGGTGATTATAAGCGAAAACTCGACTTCATCTTCGAAAATCATGAATCAATCCCTAGAAACCCTATTTTAACCACAAAAATATCAACCCATCCAAATATGGTTAAAATATACATATAAAACCGCATGCAGCACAGCCTAGACTTACAATAAAACAGAGAAATGTATGAATACTTCCCACCACAAGAACAATAAGAACAAAAATATCAAGAAAATGATTCAGTCACAGCAAATTGCTCGGAATCGAGATCTGATAGTCCAAACTCAAATCTTTAAGACCCAATCTAGCAAACCCCATTACACAGCGCGAAAACAATCGAAAACTGAATATATATAGGAACATTCATACCAACAATACAATAATCGAAGAGGATGAAAAGCTCAGAAGCAAAACAAAATTTAAAAAAGGGAAATAAAGAAACAAACAGCAGCCTACAAGGAATCTAGGGATCCCGACGAGGATTCGAATGATCGAAGTGCATTAAAAAAATAGAATTGGGGTTTTTGGAATTCGAGCTCAGATACTCACAGTGGTGGATCGTGAGAAGCAGATGAATCTGTGGGGGCGAAAATGCGATAGAGGAAGTCTGAGAGCCCTGCGATGTCTGCAAAACCACAAGTCCGAGAGACGCCCTTTATGGATGGCCTTGTCGCTGCTGTTTTTAGCGTTCACGTCATTTAAATTATAGCATTTTCCTTTTCACACCCACGGACTTAGTATGAACCACGGAAATACCCTTCCGTTTTTGTCGAACGTGTGACTGAGATTTTGCATCCCAGACTTATTTACCAAAGTTGCCATCAACGCTTACGCGGAGACGGAGCAACGCTTGTCTTCCGTTACATAAGTTCAGGCCTGTTTTTTGGTAGCTCGAATAAGCTAAACACAATGGCTGTGCAGCTGTGCAACCAATGATAACATCCCATAGTGGAGCAAGCTAGTCATAAGTTCAGGAAGCTGTGCAGCAAGGTAGTCATAAAAATAGATGAAGCCCTTAGTGGAGAATCCAAACAAAATCATACAAAGTGGGTTGGACTAGTGAATAGGTTTTTTATGGATAAGGCTCCATTTGGGAAGAATAAGTACAATATAAATATGTAGAGCGCATTCGGTTCATGTAAATGCAAAGTTGATTTAGTTTTGCATTTATAATTTTACTTTGCAAATGATTTTTAGTTGTAAACTTGTAATCGGTGCAAACACAAATCCCACAAACCTTTTTAACATTTGTCATCTTTGAGTGCCAAAATTTGCATTCATTTTTTTATGTAACCTTTGCTTTCATTTTAAATACAAACTTGTCTTGGAATGTGTGTTTAATGTCATTGTCAAGACAAATGTATTCTTGCCAAATGCTAGTAAAAATGAACCAAGTGCAGATATGTAGATGTGTAAATCAGGTCATGCCACTCATTTGGGGCACCTTAGGTAAAAATACCCCCAAAATTCCCCCCCCAACAACAACTATAAACAACTATATAGGGGGTATTTATGTATTTTGGCTTATGGAGAAAATGATAAAAATACCCCCAATAACTATATAACAACTAGTTTGGGGCACCTTAGGTAATGTGATGAATGACTAAAATGACCAAAATACCCTCCCAATATAAACAATTGTATAGGGGGTATTTATGTATTTTGGCTTGGGGAGAAAATGGCAAAAATGCCCCCAATAACTATATAACAACTAGTTTGGGGGCACTTCAGGTAATGTGATGAATGACTTTAAAATGACCAAAATACCCTCCTAATAATTAAAAAATGACTAGTTTGTAGGGTATTTTGGGCACTTGAATTATTTTTCAATTCCTATAAATAGCCCTATCCTCCACCAATTTAGCAATTATCTTCTCATACTCTCTCAGTTTCTCATACACTCTCTTTACTCTTCAATTCTCAAATCTCAACTTTCTTCAGATTTCAATAAGAATAATGTTCGCTCAAGTATCTCAATTTAGCAATTTGAGAGGCTTAGAAGCTTCAACCATTGAAATCAAGTTGAGATTCTAAACCGACAATCCAAGTAAGTGCAATTAAATTAATTTTTATTATTTTTAAATTAAAAAATGCCTACTCCTACCAAACCCAACATAATCAATGTCAACAATGTTTAGGCGTAACATGGTAGTGTTAGCGTAGATATGGATGCTATTGACATTGCTATAGTTCCCACCCATAATACTGTTATTGGGGGAAAGAAAAAGAAGGGTACTAAGTTGACTAACCTGGTATGGAAATTATTTAAAATTGAGGGGGTTGAGGGAAAGGAAAAAAGAAGTTGTTTGTCAAAAATGTAGGAGTGGCTTTAGCTACTGCAACACGGGTGGTACTGGCCACTTAGGCAGACATTTGCTTACCCATGAGAAACGAGATGAAGGAGAAAGGAAAGAAAAATCACAAACACAAATTTGGCATGGGGGTTTTGGTACTTTTAAATATTCTCAAAAAAAATGAGGTTAGAGTTAGCAAAATATATTGTATATGCTGAACAACCATTTTTATTAGATGATGATACTAAACTTGAAAAAATTTTATGTAATTTTGTAAATCCACAATTTAAAAAAGTTTATAGAAATACTATTAGAGCATATGCTTTGAAATTTTTTTATTCATATAAACTGAATTTTATTTCTATTTCATCAAATCTTAATTATAGAGTTGCAATTACTTATGATATTTGGACCTCTAAATTTAATATAGGTTATATTTGTGTTATCTACCATTTTATTGATGAAAACTGGCTTTTACAAAGAATAATTTTAAGTTTTAATGTACTTGAATGGCTACATAATGGCTCAACTATTGCTGCAAGTATTTTAAATGCTTTACATGCTTATTGATGAAGGAAGATTTAGCCCGACCTCGTAACCACTCAACACGTGGCAAAGGCAACAGCTCAGCACAACAGCACGCCCAAGGCGCGAGCTCCAAAAGAAGGAACCAGCGGTTCGAACTCCCCACAAGGAGCCCGAACTCTCCCTTTGACCTCGGGCCTTACAAGGAGCACAATGGGCAACAACCCGAACTGGCCCGCCCCAGGACAGTTCGGGCCACACCTCTATCCGAACTCAAGACTTCACCTCGCACACCACTCCAACACTTTGCCCCCAGGACGTCGAACTGAACAACCGTACCGTACCTGACACCGAAGGAGTTCGTATC